TTTCCTGCCCAATAGATACTTAAAGTAATTGCATCTTTGCAAACTGCATTATCATCACTTCATGTTCTTTATGATGTCATGGGACAGCAATGCAGACTATGTAACACTCAGCAGTTTTTCCTACCCCTACTTTGTTACTTTCCTTTAAAACCTCTTTTTCTGCCAACTGCAGACATTCTGACATATGAGGATGTAAGAATAGCGCACAAAAATCTCAATACATCTATATTAAAAAGTAAAGAGCACTTACTTTTTTTTTTCTTTAACGACTTGCACATCAAAAATAATTATGGCTAATGTGCCATCATAATGTGAAAAATCTGCTGAAAACAGTAATAGGCCAATTGCTTTTCTCTAGCTAGTTAGATCTTATTCACAAAACAATATGTTAACAAGTGGATAAGAGACATGAACTTAGAGGGAAAAGGATAAAAAATGGAAAACCATTACAGAACTAAATTAGCCAAAAATCTGAAAGCCATTTTAAAAAGCAGAACATTCTTTTTTGTGACCCCTACCACTTATGCTAATACAGCAGGGGTCATTATATCTCACAGTCTTTGCCATTTATCATAGCCACTTTGTGACTATGTAACTATTATTACTAGGTCTGATCCAAAACCTATTGAACTCAATGGGAGTCTTTCCATGGACTTCAGTAGGCATTGCATCAAGCCCATAATGAAGAATGTTCTCTATTCTAGTTCTTAAAAAAATGTAACTGATGTTGGGAGGGAATGGAAGGGAGGGGAAATTCACAATTCCTAATGAATGTGATATAGTAAAACAAAAGTTGATAACTTTCCAGTTCCTCTTGTCATCACCATCTGAAGTTCTGCTTCTGTGATATTTTAGACTAATACATATCTACACATATACATGTCTAAGACCAAATTGTTGCTGCTCATGGGCAGATATGCAAGATGGGAGTGGGGAGGATGGCACAGTGTACCCTACCACCTCTGCTGGTGCTTCTGTTCCTGAGTGCCCAGGAGTATTAACACTGCCTATAGGACTAGACAGTTCTAGTGTATGTGGTAGGGCAGGAGTTTGGCCCCTGTTCAGAAAGGAAGTTTCCCTTCAGTACCCCAGAGCCTCTGTGTTCTGGCCACTGCTGCTTGGTATAGTGCTCCCCTGCAGACTTAAGCTAGCTTTGACTACTGAAACCCCAATACAACCCTTAATGTTTTTTTTCTTTCTACAACTGGCTTCAAATCTTAGGTATTTGTTACACAAATAACCCCATATAGCATAATCACATACGAGATTGATTTTATGTTTGAAAAATAGTGTGATGTAAGTGTGCCTTTCAATAGGAATCTAACAATGGTTTGAACCATGGTTTGAAAAAATATAAGTACTGTAGCCTGATTTTGAAAACATTATTGACACAGAGGTCCTTTATGAATTATAGTCACAAATTTCACTAAAAGATATAGTTCTGTTTGAAGATTATGTGCTCAAATCTTGTATGGGACATACGATACATCCTTAGAAAAAAATAACACAAAAGAGACACTCATGAAAACTAAATGCAGTTATAATTATTCAGTTTCCAGATGGCACCTATGATAGAACTCATAGTCATTTATTCATATCTATACACAGACGCTACTAGTTCAACTTTCTGGTTGCAATGCAAATGTGCATCTTAGAATGCACTTTAGCTAGGTGTGACTTTTCAAATAACAAGAACTTCCAAAGTATGGCATCTTGGGCCTTGTTTCCTGAAAAAAAAAAATGGTGTGAAAAAATGAAAGCATGCTATGGTTACTTTGGGCAGGTCCACACTGGGGCGGGGGATCGATCTAGGAAACGCAACTTCAGCTACGAGAATAGCGTAGCTGAAGTCGACGTTTCCTAGATCGAACTAAATTTACTTACTGCGGGTCCACGCGGCGCAGGCAGGCTCCCCCGTTGACAGCGCTTCCGCCTCTCGGCGAGCAGGAGTTCCGCAGTCGACGGGGGAGCGCTTCTGGGATCGATCTATCGCGTCCAGATGAGACGCGATAAATCGATCCCAGAAGATCGATCTCTACCCCCCGAATTGGGCAGGTAGTGTGGACCAGCCCTTTCATAATCTTACTTCAAATAGGTACCTATTGACTCACAGCAAGTATCAGCACACAGCATCTGTACTTAGCACCATGATGAGATAAAAGTGATTCTGAACTTTTCAGCTCTGAAATAAATGTGCGCAAAATAAATAAAAACTAAAAATGAAACCATGTTTTCTATAAACATGCCATCATTATACTATTACTCCATTTGTAACATCTAATATGAAAACCATTTCCACCATTCTGCTATCTGTGCATGGAGGCATATTCTCATCTGTATGCATGAAGATTTAGATACATAACTCCTATAAGTAAAAACTTAAGAAGTTCTCTTCTCAAATCTCTTCTCAAAAGATGCACAGTAGGTGGACATGAGGTGAATTTCAGACTTGTGCAGGGGAAAATTGCACAACAGCTTGGCTACAATACATCCAACTTTAATGAGCACTTCCAATCTGACTTTCTCAAGTTTATGGGAAAACAAAACTCAATCACTAAATTCACATCTTCACTCTCTCCAACTATATCTATGTCTATATATAAAAGCAAAACCTTCAACATTATTTGTTTGTTTAAAACAAAAGGAAGTATTTCTTCACACAACCCACAGTCAACCTGTGAAACTCTTTGCCAGAGGATGTTGTGAAGGCCAAGACTATAACAGGGTTCAAAAAAGAACTAGATAAATTCATGGAGAATAGGCCCATCAATGTCTATTATCCAGGATGGGCAGGGATGGTGTCCCTAGCCTCTGTTTGCCAGAAGCTGGGAATGGGGAATAGGAGATGGATCACTTGATGATTACCTGTTCTGTTCATTCCCTCCAGGGCACCTGGCATTGGCCACTGTTGGAAGATAGAATACTGGGCTAGATGGACCTTTGGTCTCACCCAGTATGGCCGTTCTTATGTTCTTAAGTGTAGTCAAGAGTGTAAATCATCATGCATCAGGATCAATCTGTGGACTCAGTTCTGTATTCCTTGTGCAACCAAGATTCCCATCTTCAGCTTTCAGATCCAAAACCCATTGAAGACAATGTTAATCTTTCCATTGAATTCAGTGGACTTTGGATCAGATGCTGAGTGTGCCAGGAATGCAGAACTGGATCGTAAACCTCTTGAACTGTGGTTGAACTCACATTTCAGTTATGCTTTTGTCTTCTTTTTGGGGTAGCACAAAAGATAATGCAAATGAAGATACATAAACAATACAGAAAAGCTTATGCTGTTTTCTTTTTAGTCTTTTCTAACTTTACCATAAAAAGAAGGAACAATCCTATATAACTAAAGACAGATGTGCATATAAAGATATCCTACACAAAGAAGTGCTGCAGCATGTACCTTTTATTATCCTTTTAAAAATAATTAATTTAAGGTACAAAAATAGTGACATCTTGCAGCTTAGCAAGATGTTTAAAAATATCTTGTCTTCTGGTTGCAGAAAAAATGCCTTCGAAAACGTTATGTTGGGGAGGTTGCAGATCATAATGTATCATAGTGATTTGCTGATCTAGCTTTTCATCTCTGAAGATCTGGAATCAAATTTGCTTTTGAATGTAATGAGTTTGGCAGTCTCGGTTTAGATTTAGCTGGTCATTATGCAGATTACAAAAATGACAATTACAACAAACAATCTCTTCTCAAAAGATGCACAGTAGGTGGACATGAGGTGAATTTCAGACTTGTGCAGGGGAAAATTGCACAACAACTTGGCTACAATGCATCCAACTTTAATGAGCACTTCCAGTCTGACTTTCTCAAGTTTTTGGGGAAACAAAAATCAATCACTAAATTCACATTTTCACTCCCTCCATCTATATCTATGTCTATATATAAAAGCAAAACCTTCAACATTATTTAAAAAAAGTTCCGGATTTAATTCTTTTTCTAGAACCAGCCTCTCCTGTATGATGTATGATCAATTTCCTTTTTTAGAAAAAAAGGTCCCTATGTTTGCAGCCAGTAAAGGAAGTTAACTCACTGATGATCTCAGTACCTTAAAAACCAAACTTCACTATCATTATCATATTGTCTTAATTTTACGGAGGATGTTTCAATTATTTCTTTTAAAAAAAAAAATCAGTGGGAAGTTGATTTAAAAAAAAATGACTGCTACTTAAAATCCAGACCGCAGCAATTGCAACCGCATGAGAACTTTTATGTGCAATTGACTAGAAGACAACTATTAACAAAGGTGAACCTGACTAGCTTGTTTTCATTGATCAAAATGATTGAATGCGAAAGAGACGCAACACAGAATAAATAAATTATAAAATTACTTCATATTAGTCACCCTAAGTATGAATTGTCACAACATTTATTTTTAATCAGTCCCTATCCCATTAACTAATTTAACAGCATATTCTGATTTCTTTAACCCAGGCGAGACTCTCTGGGGCTATTGTGAGCAATGTCAAGATAAATTTTAAGGGTCAAATCCTGCAGTCTTCCCGCCTTAGCTCTGACTCCAAGGGGGAGTTTTGCCTGTATAAGGGACGGAGGAACAGACGGCGTCTTCCACCTGTGATGACGGGGGCAGTTAGAAAGGTGATGACAGAGAAAGGAAGTGGGTTAGAAGCACTAGATGGATCTCTTCTAAACTGAACTCTCAGGCTAGCTCCTCCAGTCCTGCTTCCGCCAAAACTTCAGTGGAAGTTCGGCCGGAGTGAGGAACGCATGATTTGGCCCTAACCGCGTTAAATAAATCCTGCCTTCTCCCCTTTCCTTAATCAAACCGGGTTTCCAGCAGCAGCCCCCGTCAGGCACAGCTCCCGCTGCACTCAGTGGAAGTGTTATCTGAGTAAGCTCTGGGTCATCGGGGCTGGCTGGAGGATTTGGCCCTAACCGGCTGCAGCTGTGCAGATAGTTCCCTTCCCAGTGCCTGTCGGGCAGCCTCGGAGGGAAGCTCCCCACGCCCTCCCTCCCTCTCTGGCTCACTCACCGCTGAGGACTCGCAGGGAGAGGCAGCTCGGCCCCCACAGCATCACGGCACCCAGCAGCAGGGGGATCACTCTGGAGGGAGAGGCGCTCATAGCGACGGGCGAGTCCCAACAGAAAACAAAGGCGGCACCAAGCACGGGCTGCTGCACCTGCACCCACCACTCCCCCCTTGGAGATGCTCCAGCAGCCACAGGTCCCCCCCTTGCACCAGCACCGCGAGCTCTCAGAGCAGCAGCGCGCCCTGCGAGTCCCAAACTGCGGCAGCTCCGCACATTTCCCTTGGCCAGAGGAACGCGCTGCCCCTTGCTGCCCACTCCCCCCTCGCTGGGCTCTCTCCCCCGGTGCCTCGCCCTGCCTGTGCCTCTCTCTCGGGGGCTGCGGCTCCTGCTGATGCTGAGAGGGGTGTGGATGCTCCTTGTTATATAGCCAGCCCGAGATGTTGTGCCTGGGAAAAACCAGCCCCAGACTATTGATTTCTGCTGCTGCCGCCAGCCCCCTCCGGTGTGAACCGCCCCACGCGCAACACTGCAGCTCTTATGGCACAAAGCGGGACCCAGGGCGCTCCAGAAAGGTGGACTCAGCGGCAGCCCCTCCACCTTCCTGGGCGGCAGGCGGGAACCCAGCGCTTCGGGGTCGATTTGCATACACCCGTGTCAGCTTTGCCATAAAAGTCTGGCAGGAGGCTGGCTCCCTTTCGTTTTCAAACTGCTGAATGTGCAGGGAAGTGGCGGGCTGGGGGGAGGGGGTGTCATTTTACTCCTAGCTGCTGTGTATTGCTTCACTCACTCGGGTACCTGGCAAGATGGATAGGGCAAGAGGGAACCGACTCGGGGAATTCAATACCGGGCAGGATTTTCTTGCATTCTGGAACTGGATCTCCGCCAAACAGGTTTCCTCGTTGAATGGTTATGGAAACAGACCGTAGAGAACAATATGGGATTTTCCCTGTAAGCCGCCACCCAAGAGAGATACTCAACCATCCCCATCCATATTTCAGGGAGGGGGGATTCAAATCAGGGCTTTTCATTTGGCCCATCTCTAGATCTTAAAGTCATACTGTGCTATACCACCATGGAAATGTCCTATAGAGACAACTAGAGAATGAAATCCTAGCTGGAGAGTGTTTAGCCAAACTATAGAATTCTGCAGTAGGCATGTCACTCGCCATTAAATTCCATAGATTTGGAATAATGTCTGTAGATCCCCTACACTACAGGGATTTGAGCCTGTACCATTAATATCAATGAGAACTTTGTCATTGAGTTCATTATATTCGGGACCAGGCCCTAGAGCCCTATAGCGATCATCTCTATTAAATGCTTAAGGATTTTTTGCCATTAAGGGTTTTTCTCCATAAGAATATGAATAAACATTTATTTTCTACTTATTTTTTACAAGAGAATCTCTCAGTTTTCTGTTAGGCTACTGTGGCCACATCCAGATTACTGTTTTGATACATCATGTATAATTATATTTATAACACTTTAAAAGAACACCCCCAATGCCTTTTCTTTTGGGATTATGGTCTCAACTGTTTTGCTTATGCGTGTACAGTTCTTGTGAGTGGTTTATTTGATTACAGGGCACGATTAATATAGACCATCGTGTTTAGTGGACATCTTCTATACAAATTATTTGGGGACTTGTCCCTCAGATTCCAGCTACTAACCATGTATATGGCATTTGTAAATCTTTTCCTCTCAACAGTTATTATAACTGGTTTTGTAGCCATATATCTCAGTTTAGAATGGATTTTCAAAAACTTAAGGGATTTCCTAGCTGCTTTAGAAATATGTGAGACCAGCTTTCATACTGAAAAACCCAGTGTTAGGTTTCTAAACAGTAATTGAAATCTAGTTAAAATATACAGCATTTTGTTCCCAACTTTTTTTTATTACTTAATAATAGGATTTGTGTTTTTACTTGGCTGGTACAGACTTTTCCACTATGGTTTTCAAGTTTCCAGTGAGGTCTCTAGTATTTTCCAAGTTTATAGTGCCACAGTGTTTCAGTCTCAAAATAGTCACATGGGGTCATATGGCCTCTTCCTGTGCAAAAATAAACAAAACCTCCATGGCTTCTGAAATTACACCCATTCCTCATTATTATTGCCCTTATATAAATGGATGGTACGCCCACATCTCAAATACTGCGTACAGATGTGGTCTCCTCATCTCAAAAAAGATATACTGGCACTAGAAAAGGTTCAGAAAAGGTCAACTAAAATGATTAGGGGTTTGGAACAGGTCCCATATGAGAAGAGATTAAAGAGGCTAGGATTCTTCAGCTTGGAAAAGAGGAGACTAAGGGGGGATATGATAGAGGTATATAAAATCATGAGTGATGTGGAGAAAGTGGATAAGGAAAAGTTATTTACTTATTCCCATAATACAAGAACTAGGGGTCACCAAATGAAATAAATAGGCAGCAGTTTTAAAACAAATACAAGGAAGTTCTTCTTCACGCAGCGCACAGTCAACTTGTGGAACTCCTTACCTGAGGAGGTTGTGAAGGCTAGGACTATAATAGCGTTTAAAAGAGAACTGGATAAATTCATGGTAGTTAAGTCCATTAATGGCTATTAGCCAGGACGGGTAAGGAATGGTGTCCTTAGCTTCTGTTTGTCAGAGGATGGAGATGGATGGCAGGAGAGAGATCACTTGATCATTGCCTGTTAGGTTCACTCCCTCTGGGGCACCTGGCATTGGCCATTGTCGGTAGACAGGATACTGGGCTAGATGGACCTTTGGTCTGACCCGGTACGGCCGTTCTTATGTTCTTATGACACTATTGGCATTGTGGAAGAGATGGAGCGTGGCCACCCACGCATGGCTATAATAACAATATCTAGGTAATGATGGCAGCCAAACCCCCACAGGTTTATCACATGTGTGTAAACTTGAAGGATTGTGGGAAAGATATTTCTATAAATTATCAGGAATCATAGTGCATGTCCCATCAAAGAGCAATGAGGAAAAGCCAGGCCTGATGGTTCAGAAAAGGGAGAGAGAGAGAGAGATGTCAAAAGTGGCATTGTGCTATTTAGCAACCTGCCACTGGATTGAGAAGGGCTGGTAATGATAAACTGATGCAGGGGATGAAACCCCTAAAATTGTGTGAAGCTCCATCCAAGATGAGCTGTGCATGCCACCAATACTTGAAGAGTCTGACTTCTTTTTCTTATGCTTTGACAACACTTGCATAGTTTGTTATGCCAATAAAGTCTCAATGAATTGAAATTGTATCTGCCATGCCTCTGCACAGCTCCAGACACCCTCCCAGGACTTGACAGCATGGTTAGCTTCTTTATCATGCTTCCACTGGTTTCCATTATGACCCTTCCAATAGGGTTCACATAGGGAAGTTTAAAGAAGATTATGTCATAAGTGTATAGAACAATCAGCCGCATATAGTGATCAAAATCACTGGGACAAAATCATTTCTATACTAACCGTGCTAAATACCCCGCTTGTAAGAATCAAGCAATCCACTTATAAGAATCATTTCAGGGCAAACTGACTACATGTAATATGATACTTGATCAAGTGCAATGACATAACAAGCCAATAAAGCTGTTTTGAATCTGAATTTGATTACATCTCATGTTATTAGGCATATAGCATGCAAAAAGTATAATCCCTGTGTAGAAAAAACAAGTTGTGCTGTTTATATGTGAGTCAACATGGCAGGAAAAAGAAATGCTTTCTTCAGATGAAAAATGCCACCTCCTGGAGTCCTATGATAGTCTTCCCAAGACTATAGCTCAGAAACTGGGCATTGCACCACCTTTATTGTCTAAGATTCTCAAAGACAAGGAGAGCATCATACAAAATGAAGGAGATAGAAAACGAATGTGATCAGGCAAGGCACCTATGGTCGAGGTGACGCTTATAAAGTGGATCAGAAATGCCAGAGAAAGAAATCCCTCCCCCCCGCCCCAAGTGAACGGTTGGTGATGCAGAAAGCAGAAGAACTAGTGGTGGTCCTGGGCGTTACTGACTTTAAGTCCAGCACTGGCTGGTTTGAGCCCTTTAAAAAACTGAGAGGGGATTGTTTTTAAGAAAATACATCAAGAAGCCTGAAGCCCAAAGACACGGACATTAGGTCATGTGAAGAATGGTTAGAAAACAAGTGGATTGAAATGAGACACGATTTCGCTGAAGAAGATATTTGAATACAGATGAAAGTGAAATTTACTTATGAGCCCCGCCTGGTGGGACTCTCGCCTTTAAATTAGACAATAAACGAAGGAAAGCAGTCTAAAGAAAGAATTACTGCTCTGTTCATCAGTTCCATGACTGGTAAGAAAAAAAAACCTTTTCATCACTGGGAAAAGTCAAAACCCATGGTCTTTTAAAAATGTGAGACATCGTCCAGTCCACTACGCTGCCAATTCATCTGCCTGGATGATGGGGTATCTATTCGGTCAGTAGCTGAAGGACTGGGATTGAAAGTTGGGACAACTGGACAGACCACATGACCACATAACGAACGATGAAACCCTGAGAAATATCCCACTTGAATTCTTCCCAAAGAACACAACTTCTATCTTTCAGCCATGTGATTAGGGAATTATCACAAGCAAATGGCTCACATGGTGGTGCATCACACTGATGATAAGGACAGCCAGGCTACTGCTATGGAAATTGCCATGAAGATCAGTCTTTTAGATGCCATTCTAATGCTTGCAAATGCCTGGAGTGATGTCAATACTTCAACAAATCAGAATTGCTGGAAAAAAGGAAGTCTAGTCATAGCACCATTAGGGACGCAATTGTTGTTGAGCCATCAAGAGAACTCAGTGCACACGAATGTGAAGAGTGGATAGACATCGATGACAATGCTTTTGTTATACAACCTGTCTCTGATGAGGACATTGTGACTTAGATCTGAGACCAATTTGAAGTGAAACCCAAAAATGATGCAGGGGCGGACTCTGAACGACAAGGTAATTGTCCCATCCTTGACCCAAATGAAGGATGCGATGAAAAAATTGGCAAATGGCCTCTTGTATAGGGGCTTCAATGTTTTTAACCTCCTCCATTGCCTTGAAAATCTGGTTAACAATGTCGTGGATCATGCAATGATCCAGGGAACATCCAACAAGTTTGTAATCAAACAGCAACTGTGCCATTGCATTATGCATTCACAGTGCCAGACCTGCCACTCCAGGGACAGAAGATGACACTACAAAATAAATAATAATGTGAGTCAATACTGTTAAACATCCATTTTGTTGTTTTGCATTTATATTTATGCTATAAAACTCAGTGTAATGCACTTTCATATGTTATATTTGTTGCAGTTTATTTGAACAATTTTTAAAATTTGTATCTTTGGATCTTTACCTCTAGAGGTATATAGCTCCGCTAACTTACACTTTGAGTGAAGTTGTAACATGCTGTACAGTATTCATAATTGCCTTGAATAAACACACCTGCTAACTGATTGGGTAATAATAATATAGTAATAGTATGTTGCTCAGTTAGAATGTTGGTGTGGTTTTGTTCCATGTTAAATATCTATGTTTACAGTCTAAAGAAT